CCATCGAGTACGATGTCAACCGAGCCGTCAAAGACGATGAGGAAAGGATGATGACCACTATTCAGATCATCGGGGATTTCGAGGGAGTCTTCTGGACTCCATTGGGAAATTCTTTCGAGGGCGTCACCGGAGATGGCCCTCAGCTTTGCTGCACCGGACCTTAGTTGAACACATTGTTCTGCGAGTTCGAGCAGGTCTGTGCTGCGAAGTGGGCAGATGACAAACACCATTACCACAGTCGCCTCAACATCAAGTTTCGGCTCAACATGAAGATCGGCTCCCGCAGCCCATGGGCCCTCCAGCAACCTGGCGTCTGTGGACACAACCGGTTGATCCATGCGTTGAGTCGGAACGTTGACTATGAAGATAGCGACAGATTTGTTCTTTTCAATTGTACTCCCCACCTATACGCAGTTATTTTAGAGGACGCCACGAGGTGCCTAGTGGAGTCATCACAAGACGACATCCACAACAGCCATCCTGCTTTCGAGCCACTGTTCCCCAATCAGAGCTTGCCTCTGTATGGGGTCCTAGCGGATTCATTTTTTTAGGTTAGGTTTGTCGCCGATTTTCGCTGCGCGCCCGGGTGCCCGGGTGCCCGGGGCCCAGGGGGTGCCCGGGGGTGCCCGGGTGCCCGGGCGTGCCCGGGGGTGCCCAAACGCGTTATAGCCATATAGCCTTGTAGCCCAATAGCCCTACAATTCTATAGCCCTATAGCTCTATAGCCCTATGGCTCAATGGCCCTATAGCCTTATAGTTCCCTGGCCCTACAGCCGTGATTGGGTTTTTTCTCCGGTATCATGCAACGTGGGAAGACCATGCGCTGACGGATGAGACGTGCGAGAGTTATTTTGGCGTTCCGATGGAGATAGACATCTTTCCCCTGAAGTCCGGCTTCCTTAGATCACGGGCAGCCGCCTTTCCGAAGCCCTCCAGTCTCCCATGCCCTGGCCCTGATCCAGGCAGCGCAGCGTCCGTTGCCGCCCCAGCCCAGGAACATATCACTGCGGCCCTGCGAACTGATTCTGACGACAATCTGGAAGGCGCCGACAGGGGTGAAGGAGGCCGAGCTCCTCGCCAGGGCAGAGCATATCATGGCTGAGCATCGCGGCAACGCCGCAGCTCACCACTCTCGCGAGACCATTTCGGCAGATGGCCTTTCCTATCCGATGATTGAAAAGGGATTGGAACCGCTGGCCGCCAATCTTGCCGCCGATCGCGCTCACTTGATCCCGGATCGTGCTCTCCGTGATCTCGGAAGATCTTTGAGTGCCGGTGGAGACACCCGCATCCGCATTGAACAGCACATAGTGGAAGGCGCCAGCGATATACAGACTGAAAAGCGCCACTGCGACAGCTGCCACCGTGATCTCCCCGGTAACATCGATGGCGGCATTTGCAAAATGCGCCAGACGTCACAAGTTGTCGGGGAGACGGGCGCGTTCCAGATTCAGTTCTTCGCCTGCGTTCATCAGTGGATTCGGAACAGTCTGGACGCCCAAGTCAACGACCAGGTCATGCGCGCGGACGTCGACATTCGTTCCTAAGGCACGCGCCCCGATGAAGCGGAAGATAGGAATTTCCTCCGCGGGCAGGCAGCAAAAGCAGAGAAGTGCCATGCCGAATGGATCGCTGCAGGCTCACCTACCGCAGGGGGCTGCAGACTGTCCAGCGCAGTTGCGGACCTCCTGAGCGATGACGCAGTTCTGTGCCATCCGTTCGCCGACGCGGCACAGAGGTTCCACGAATGCCCACTTTCCTACGCGCAAATGACCGACGGAAGGCCTGCCAGCCGCAAGAAACCATTCGCGATCGATGACATGCACCTTGCTGCGCAATATCATCGTGGAAGCGTAGAATGGGGATGCGCAGGCCGTCTGAGGAAGGCCCCTGGAGCGCCCAGCCGCGAGAAGCGTTTCAAGCGCGGGCACGTCACCTTCTCCGCTCCCTCCTGGAGCGGACAGGGCGCGATGAATCGCGCTGCGTTGGCCGAGTTCCACGAGCGGGCCCCCAGCGGTGCCGCGCAGGGCAAGGGGGGCGCTGGTCTTGCTTCTGTCGCCGACTCCATTCGCGCCCCGCCCCCTGCGCCTCCGCCCCCGCGCCGCGATGTCCAATCCGCGAGCGCGGCGTCATCCGGCGGCCCTGCCCGCGGCGCTGGCTGGGCCGGGGGCGGCGGCTCCACGTCGGGCGCGCGGGGGGCCGACTGCGCCTCCGAGACGGAGATCGCGGGGGGGGGCGTGGGGGGGGGGGGGGGGCGAACCGCGAGCGCAGCCGCGGTGCTGTTTGCCAGCGCCGCATGCAGCCGCGGCGTGGCCACGGCGTCGAACGCTACAGGCATGGCGCGCGCCGCTGCTGGCCCTACTTGCTGAACAAGTGGGTCTGCATTGATGAGCATGATTGTGAATGCGTTTGGCTGGGTCAGAATAGCACGCGCGCGAATGAATGGTTTGGCGAGCGTGACCATCGCCTCTAGGACAACCATCACTACAACTTATAGTGACATGAATTGGACGGCAACGATACTATCGACACTACATGTTTTGATGATGTATATGTCTGCTTATTTTTTCTGGACTAGACATATTAATTTGTATGATGTGACACTGTTACCATACTTATTCTGACATTGATTGTACTTGTTACCTTCCTGCTGCTCTAATTACATGTTGCTGGAGTTCGCGCTATTTACTACGATTTGGAACTTGGGACATCGACGCACCCGGGCAGGTCGCCCGCCAACAGTCTTCAATCTTATTGTAGCTGGAACCATACATTGAGTTTTCATGGGAAGCCGGAAGCACTGAGTACGACACATGCGAAGCATACATCCCATTACGTTTGCGATGACATATTCGCCATCTTGTGCGTTGTCACGTCGGCCGTGCATTTTTTCGAGGCGCCTCGCAATATTGATCTTACGTCACGTGATTGATCTGTTGTGCTCGCAATTGCGATTCTAATGCAAACCGAACTCGTGCCTGGAAAGCTCTGGGGCAATAGTGGTTCTGGGCCTGGAGTGCCTCATGAGTCAAGAATTCCCGTTTATCTTGGTCGTGTTGTCGTCGCAGCTCCGACCCGTCGCGTTTTTATCGGTATTATTCTGCGCGAGTATCACTGTGCGCCAGTAGGAACACCTGCATTGTCACGCAGCTCCGCCCTCCGCATTCCCTTTCTCCTCGTCGCCCGTGGTGGCGGGGAGTCGTCGAGGAGTGCCGGGGCGTTTTTTGGGGGCGCGCCCTGGGCCCGCTGAAAGCGGGTGGACCACCCTGAATGCCCTGCGTGGCGGGGTTGGCCCTCCTAGGTTCCTGGGGTCTTGGTCGATCTTCTTGCCGATCGGTCTCGGCGTCGATTTAATTCCCCACCTCTCTATCGATCTCACTACTGATCTCACAATCGATCTCACAATCGGCTTCGCGAGCGATCTCACTAGAGATCGCGCGAGCGATCTCGCGATCGATCTCCCCATCGATTTCATTGAATCGATTTCACTCTCGATCTCACGATCGACCTTGCAATCGTCCCTTGCCGAAGCCTTCTATCGATCTTTTTATCGGTTTCATTATCCATATCAGGATCCCTATGAGTAATTTCCAACTCATCCGCTGATGGGGTTTTCTCATGTGTAATGTCGTCATGCACCGCTAGCGTATCGGCCCAGGCATTGGAGCACATACCGCGCTGCTCTCCGCGCGGCGTCCAGGAAATGGAGTAGCCCACCTCTTCCCCCTTTGCCTCTACCGACGGGTAATTGTATAGGGTCGACTTTTCGGTCGTATCCTTCGCGCGCAGGTCGGGCGGGTGGGCCCTGGCGGGCGGGTCGGGCGGGGCCGGGCGGGCGGGCCCTAACGCGAGGGTCGGGTCGGGCGGGCAGGGCGCCAAAGTGCGGGGCGCGGTCGGCCGAGCGCGCGCGAGTCCTGCCTGGCGGGTCGGGTCGCGCGGGCGGACCCCAGCGAGCGGGTCGGGTCGGGTCGGGCGGGCGGGGCGCGTAAAGTTTGGGGCGCGTTCGACCGAGCACGGGCGAACCCCAGCTGGCGGTCGGGCCAGGCGGGCGGACCTTAGCGGGCGGGTCGGGTCGGGCGGGCGGACCCTGGCGGGCGGGTCGGGTCGGGCGGGCGGGCCGCGGAAAGTGCGGGGCACGGTCGACCGATCACGCGCGAACCCTAGCGGAGCGGGTCGGGTCGGGCGGGCGGGCCCTACCTAGTGGGCGGGTCGGGTCGGGCTGGCGGGCCCTGGCGGTCGGGTCGGGTCGGGTCGGGCGCGCGAGCCCTAACGGGCGGGTCGGGTCGGGCGGGCGGGTAAAAAAGTGGGGGGCGGTCGACCAAACACGGGCGAAACCTAGCGGGCGGGTCGGTTCGGGCGGGCGGGCGGACCTAAATGAGCGTGTCGGGTCGGGCGGGCGGACCCTGACGGGCGGGTCGGGTCGAGCGGGCGGAACATTATTGCGTGGGGCGCGTTCGATCGAGCACGCGCGAACCCAAACGGGCGGGTCGGGTCGCTCGGGCGGATCCTAACGGGCGGGTCGGGTCGGGCGGGACATATAAAGTGTGTGGGGCACGGTCGACCGATCACGCGCGAACCCTAGCGGGCGGGTCGGGTCGGGCGGGCGGACCTGGGCGGGCGGGTCGGGTCGTGCAGTTTCGCCGACGGCAGCTGGTTTTGCCGACGGCAACTGGTTTTGCCGACGGCAGCTGGTTTCGCCGACGGAGCTGGTTTCGCCGCGGAAGTGGTTTCGCCGGGCGGCGAAACCCGCCAGGCGAAATAGGCCAGGCGACACCAGCTGGGCGAAACCAGCCGTCGGCGAAATTAGCGGTCGCCTCCTTCCCTCCCTCTTCCGCCTCTCCCCCCTTTGCCTCCTCCTTGTGTCCTTCCTCTCTCGTTCTCCCTTCTGCATCTTTCGTCCTTCCTCACTGTTTCTCCCGTTCCTCGTGTTCGCCCAGGCAGTTGCCGTCCTGGACCCCCCTCCCCTCCCCTGTGCTTCTGGCTGCCGACCCGCCCGCGAGGAGCTGTGGGAGTCCAGGGTGGGCAGGATGATCGAGGAGCGTCTGGGCAGC